ACACACACACACACACACACACACACACACACACACACACACACCTTCGTCCAGAGAAGAATAGGCTTTTAGGGGCCACTTCCTGTCTCTGCAGCAGCATGTGAGCAAAAACACACTAACGTCACGGCTAAACAAAGTCATATATTAGTGTGTGAACACACACACACACACACACACACACACACACACACACACACACACAAGGTTACTTTCCCCGTGTGTGTGTGTGTGTGTGTGTGTGTTTCCTCCCTGGAGGTCAGTGTGTATCCGCTGTATAAGTGAGCTGTCAGCACAAAGCTGTGAGCAGAGAGACTAAAGACAGAGAAACAGTTGATTCTACCTGCTCCACCATCAGTCCACCTAAATACAACATGATGTCATTATTCTAACCCCCTCTCTTCCTCCTCCTCCTCTTCCTCCCTGCAGCAGATCTCTCAGCTCCTCTCTCTCCTCCATCAGGGTCAGCTTCAGCCGAGGCCAAACTTCAGAGGAAACAAGTACTCTCATCGCAGGTCAGTGGGACTCCTCTTCCTCATCCTCCTCTCTCCTGATATCCAAATTCAATACATTCCTCTTCCTCGAATTTTTCCTACTGATCCCTAACCTCGATATACATCGCTCCATCATCATCCTCTTCAATCCTCTTCCTCCTGATGTTGATGATATCCTCTTCTTCTTCATCACTCTCTTCATCAGCACTAGTTTGAGGTTTCAGGCTGTGATCAAAGCATACACTCCTAATAAAGGAGACACACTTCTGACGCCTGATGTGTGTGTGTGTGTACGTGTGTGAGTGTGTGTGTGTGTGTACGTGTGTGTGTGTGTGTGTGAGTGTGTGTGTGTGTACGTGTGTGTGTGTGAGTGTGCGTGTGCGTGTGTGCGTGTCACTCTTCTTATCTCACTAAACCTCTGGTCTGGTCTTTTTATTATTTCTTAAATCAGATTTCTGTTCTTTGTTTCTCTGTGAAGAATAAATAAACCTTTTATTTACTTATTTTACTTTATTTCTATTTACAATAATCTCTGATTCACTTAAGAGCAGCTGTGTTTTCCTGCTTCATCCAGTTAAACATATAAAAACTCTTTACATAACAATTAATTATTATTCATTTTAAATAAATGTGTCTTTCTTTTGTTTTAAGAACTAATGGTCAAAGGATTAAGTGTTTTTATGTCTGTGGATTAATTGAAAGGGTTATTAATCCTCACCTGTGTGTGTGTGTGTGTGTGTGTGTGTGTGCGTGTGTGTGTAGATATGGAGGTCAGGACTGTTCTGATTGGCAGAGCAACAAAGACAGTGGACACGGCGAGAGCGAGGCTGGAGACATGGACTGGGAACCAGAAAGAGACTCAGACCATCAGCTGGAGGAGGGACTCCAGAACCTGCTCAACGGTAAACACACACGCACGCACGCACGCACGCGCACGCACACACACACACACATATACACACGCACACACACACATTTACACGCACACACACACATATACACACACACACGCACACTCCTTTAGTCTTAAACCTCCATGTTTGTTTATCCAAGCAACACCTGCTCACTGAAGATGAAGATCATAATAATAACGAGAAAATTTTGCAGGAAATTTTGACAGTGTGGCTTCTAGTGCCTGAAGACGTCGCAATGTATAACTACACACGCCGATGTTACCGGTAGTATCGTTGAGGTTCGATTGAGATATCGCTTCTCTCTTTTCTGTATTTTAGATTCATACTCTTGGATTGAATCTTGTATTCGTGATGGACAGTCCACAAATGGCTCCCGTCATTTCTGTACTGGACATGTACATCTTTGCTTGAGAAGCCATTTTGAGTAAAATTTGAGTAAATTTCTGTACGAGCCTCATTCTGAGCTTCATGTTAAGATACAGTTACTCTATGGAGCTTTTATTTTGAAAGGGTGGGACTGGGTGGGGGAGAGAGGGGGAGAGGAGACATATTCATAATGTTTGACACAAACACAGAGGTTATTAAATGACAGAGTTCATCACAAGCATTCCAGTTAGAATTCACTCTCTGGAGCTTTTATTTTGAAATGGGGGGGGGGGGGGGGGGGGGG